ACAGAGAACTCCCTGATGGTTCACCCTCCATCCTCATAACAACCCCCAAGTCAGAACAAGGGGATACTAACCCTCTGTCCCCTCTGAAGACTTCAGGTCCTATCCTGATCCAGTCCTCCATATGGCTAAATCACTACAACTCAAGATCCAGCCACTACCCTCACCACAGTCAAATCCACTCTATGACGACATCAACAAAAATGCTGCTACTCCTGTTCATACTAGCATTCTTCCCTTCTTTCTGGATCTGGTAAAGGAATCATGGCAGAAGCCATCTACTTTGCCCCCCAACATCAAGGCAAGCAGAGAACTTCTACAAGATTGATGACAAGGAGGCCACTTTCCTTGTTAAAAATCCTCAGCCCAAGTCTATGATCGTTGAGGCACCCCAGCCAAGATCCAAAAGAAAATATTGAACTTAGCTTTCCAACAGGAGACCCTGGCCCTGGCAACTGGAAATGCAAGCCACTCATCATGCCCCTGAATGTGCTGTAAATAACATGACTGCCACACGGTTATTATACGTGGCTGTCTGTGAGTGTCTCAGAGGACTCAAGAACACACAGTGAGGATCTCTTTACTGATGTCAGATGACATAATGGACAATCTGTATAAGGTCACATATGACTTCCCATAATCCAAGATCAACACCCTTCAACTCTCCATCATGACAATGTCACCTTACTAGTGCCATACAGCAACGTATGGCACACTGTCACCAATGACTACTGGGTCTTAACCATAGTCAAACATAGAGTTCACATCTCTCTCTCTGACAGGCTACTTTAGAATTACAACACAATCTCAAGTTGTACAAAAGGAGATAGCTGCGCTTCTCCAGAAAGATGCCTTACGGAGGGTCCCTCTTGAGTCCCAGCATGATGGCTTCCACTCCAGTTACTTTACTGTTCCTCCAAACGATGGGGGACTGAGGGTTCATTCTAGACTTGAGGGATGTGAACGCATACGTAAGCACCAAGAAATTTAGGATGGTAACTTTAGAGATAATCTTGCCATTTTTCAAAAAAAAAGGAGACGGGTTTACTGTGATAGCTTCAAGGATGCTTACTTAGTTGCTGCATATCTCAGGATAAAGGGCATAAATGGAATTCTATACTGGTTGATTGCCAGTGGAGGTGATGGCATTCCAGTTGGGAGACTGGTTTACTGTGATAGCTTCAAAGATGCTTACTTAGTTGCTGCATACCTCAGGATAAAGGGCATACTTGGAATTCTATACTGGTTGATTGCAGCAGACTTGAAGGTCAAGGCAGAAAAAGTTGTAGTTTTCACTCTACACTTCTTGTCAGATCTCAGCCTCCATGTTAACTTTTAAAAGTCACATTTGCGACCAGATCAAAACATAAAAGACATAGGAGCTGTTCTGAATTGCAGGAAAGCAAGCGCTTACCAACCTCAAGACAGGATAGACAACTCATGGAGTTGACAAGGAAATTCAAACTGAACATGTCTGTTACTGCACACACGGCTCAAACACAGTTCGGTTTCGTGGCACTGATGACCTAAATGGTTCTGGATGCCCATTTGAAAATGTCATTCCCTTCAAGCTGGGCACCTGGCGTCTTTCAATATCATGATGGAAAGCAGCAAAAAGGAGACTGGTCAGCCCTTAAGAAGTGGCAAAACAGATCCTGTGGTGGGCGGACATTTCCAATCTGTCTCTCAGAAGACCTTCCCAACAACTCCAACCCCACTTCTGAATTACAACAGATGCCAGTGCTGGGGACTGCAATGCCCAGGTCGGCATACTCATGCACAATTGTCCGAGAGTGCAAAGCAGCTGCATATAAACCAGCTGGAGATGCTAGCAGTGCTAGCAGTGATTAAAACTTTCCGGCGTTCAAAAAATTAATCAGGGGCAAAGTAGTACAAGTGGTTACAGACAACATGGCCACAATGTAATACATAAACAAGCAAGGAAGGTCACATGTGAGGTCCCTTCTCTACCCATTGCTTCAATTGTAGGAATGGTATCTAGAGGAGCACATCTATCAGTATCAATTCATGTCATGGGGGAAGAAAATCAAGAGGCTGACTTTCTCAGGAGACAGAAGACCCTGAAATCACAAAGGGGAGTTATTCCCCAATATGTGCACCAGCATTTGCATTTGCTGGGGTCATCCACAGGATTTGTTCACAACTTGAGTCAACAGTCAGTGTAAAAAGTATTTTAAAAAGTATTTTATATAGGCAGTGTAAAAAGTATTTTATATAGGCAGGTTATGAAAGAACTCTCTAGGAGATACTTTTGCAGCTTGGTGGAAACAGAAAAGATTTTATAGCTTCCCATCCATACGTCTGTTACACAGAATCATAGTAATATTGTATCAAGGGAAGGCCAAAACAATACTGGTAGGTTCATGGTGGTTACACCAGCCTTGGTCTGTAAGTCTCAGACGTATGACAATGGACACATATCACCCACCACTGATCCATCTATGTTGGCTTGGGCACGTTGTGAGAATGGCTGATGGTCGGATTCCAAAAGATCTCCTGTAAGGAGAATTAGTGCAGGGAAATCGCCCCAGAGGGAGACCACAGTTGTGATACAAGGACATCTGCAATCGAGATCTGAAGGCCTTAGGAATGGACCTCAACAGATGGGAAACCCTGACGTCTGAGCATTCAGCCTGGAGGCAGGCGGTGCAGCATGGCCTCTCCCAGTTTGAAGAGACACTTGTACAGCAGGCCGAGGCAAAGAGGCAGTCCCGAAACAAGCAAAACCAGGGAGCTGGACAGGGGACAGATTGTATTTGTCTTCAATGTGGAAGAGATTGTCACTCTCGAATTGGCCTTCTCAGCCACACTAGATGCTGTTCCAAGACCTCCATACAGAGCACGTTACCATAGTCTTTCGAGACTGAAAGATGCCTACAAGGAAGATCCCAGACCTGAATTGGTCCATCATCCAGACCTCCCTGAAACTAAAAGCATGAAAAATTCACCAGAATTAAATAGAATTGGACAGAACTTTCTCATTCGATTCTCCCTCAGGAAAAAAAAAGGGAAGGACTAGACCTTTCATTTCTCCTCTCTTTTCTTCTCTCTCTGCCTTGCCTGCTGCATGGCTTCTCTGGGGCTTCCTCAGGCTTTGAGAGCAAGGGCAATGATACGATTTGGAAATGGACAATGAAGTCTACTAGATGTAGGAATAGGTGAAGCTGTCCAGCTAAATCTTTTGAGGTCTCTCCTCAGAAGGAGAGACCTCAGGAGAGATGTTTTTCCATCACCAAATTCATTCCAACCCCATTTTTCATGTGAGTAAAAATTAAATGCTTTTTTGTGCATATTTTTCCAAACATACACATTTTTGTGTGCATATTTTTTAAAAATAATTGTGCACATATTTTTCAAATAGCTGTTTGGATAGCTCAGGGGTTTAGGTATCTGGCTGTGAAACCAGAGGTTGGGAGTTTGATTCCCACTACGTGTCCTGGTTGAAGAGCCAGCTTGTGCGGCCTTAGGCAGAAGAAGATAATAGGAAATTACTTCTGTGTCTTCGTACCTAGGAAACCCTGCACAGTGTCACTAAAAGTTGGAATCAACTTGGTAGCACACTATTGTTGTTGTTGTTGTTGTTGTTGTAGTTGTAGTTGTAGTTGTAGTTGTAGTTGTTGTAGTTAAAATATATGTTTGCATGCTTTTTTTGTACCTTTTGATGGATGCATGTCTGTATGCATTTTATAATTATACGTGGTTTTCTTCTCCACTTTTCAAATGTTCTAATGTTGCGAATCACTAATAGCATGGACCCCGCCCTGTTCTGATCCTGCTAAAGCGAAGGAGGTCCAAAGTGGAATTTAAACCATGCACATGGACGTCCTAATGAGCTAAGTGATCTTGGTTCTTTTGGCTTGATATCCTACAGAGTTACATTCTGGTTTTGCTAAAGACAAGCAGACTATCATTTTCCTTGCTTATGTTGTTTCTGGTGGCTATTCCAGCTTTTTCACAGTGCAGTTTAACTTTTGTCTCTTATCTGAGCCCCTCCACTGTTGTGAAATGTCTTGGTGAACTGCTTGTAATCTTGGACTGCAAATTTTCATAATGGCTTTCTTGGTGGCTGCTCCTTCTACATGAATTACATGAATGAATTTTTGTGGTCTTTATTCTGATCTTCCCAAACAAACAAATAAACACTACTGCCAAGAAATCAACAAGTAACTTACCTTTAACTGTGGTTCTTCATGTGCTCATCCATACAACACCTGCTCCAGATGCCTCTAATGAGTTCTCCTTTCCCTGCTCTTTCTGCTCTGGCGAACTGGGTAGCAAGGCAGGCACCATGATGCTCTCTTTGGGTAGGTATCCAGGTATCTTTTGTCTAGGCCTAGAAAATTCTGGATGTTTCCATGTGCTGAAGCAACACTAAATGTGTGATTGAACTCAAACTGCTCTGTAGAAAGAAATAATTAAAAAGCTACTGTCTCCTAGCTTTTCTCTAAGAAGAAATCAGTGTCCAGAGGGAGATCACATTTAAGAAAAGCTGAGCATTACAAAGGGGGAAAAATCAACCTACCCTCTGAGATCCATGCTAGGAAATTATCTGGGCTTGCTTGCTAGATGGAAACTGGTGTCACCTAAAGTTGCTTCTTGCGTTGTTTGAACTTTGAAAGCCACTGAATGTCCAAGCCTGGCTCCAGGCTTGAGGACAGACCTCAGAAGAGTTGGTGACCTCTCTTAGCCAACATATCCACACTGCCACACCTCTAATAAGTACTAAATGAACACCATGCACAGTTTCTCACAATGCTTCAGAATGTGCAATACACCCATCATGTGCCTTCCTTTTTATTTTTACTTTTTTAAAGATTCTGTGTCAGATTCCTTTTCACACCTGATTAAACCAACTCAACTGTATATTTGAACATATATTAAAATTATATGTTGAATGAGGATGATTTATTTAGCAGTATGATACTTTTGGAAAATGTGGAAGTACAAATAAAAATTTTGCATCTGGTTCTACTGTCTTCCAGGTGATTAAAGAAGGGTACCTTCTAAAGGCAAAAATAGCAGATGGAGGCAAGAAGCTAAGGTATGAGGCAATAATAAAATCTTATAGAAGAAGAAATGTTCAAGTCATTGATGTGTTCATGGAGTAGCTGTAAAACTTGATATGTGGAGTAGTCTAATGTAACATGGGACCTAAATTGTTATTATATACAGTGGTGCCCCGCATAGCGACATTAATCCGTTCCAGGATTAACATTGCTATCTGGAAACATCGCTATACGGAATGTAAAACCCCATAGGAATGCATTAAACTCCATTTAATGCATTCCTAACCATTTTCGCCTTCCGGTGGCCATGAGATTCGCCATCCGGCCACCATTTTCGCCACCTCGGTAAGCGGGTGGCCAAAAACGCTGCGGGTGGCCATTTTATTCTTCCGGTGGCCATTTTGGAACCGCTGATCAGCTGTTTTTAGAACATTGCAATGCGAAGATCTGTAAGTGAAACGCTTACCAATCATCGCAATGCGATTTTCACCCATTGGAATCATCGCAATGCGATCACATTAGCAATTGCAAAAACGCGTCGCTATGCTGAGTCGTCCTTAAATGGTGCGCTCGTTAAGCGAGGCACCACTGTATACAGAGAATCCATGATTCCTCCTTCTGTTTTGAAAATCTGCAAAAGGGCGATATTTCTTTTTCACTAAGCAGCAGCCAAACTCATTGCACAATGCCTGTTTTCAGAAAAACACATTTTATTATACTAAAAATATGGAAAAAGAAAAACATTCACAGCCATTTTCAGGATCTTTAGTTGGTTTGTTTTTTAAGTTCCTTAAGTGTCAGTAACAACATGTGTACCCAATTCTGCATAAAACAGAAACCTTTATATTTATATTTTATTTGTTTTGCACAGGGACCTGGCTAGGCTTTTGTATGCCAGAGGCCATGATGTATGGTTAAAGTTGCCTTCCAAAACTTGGTACTTTCAATATATCTTGGACTATCTTTCCTACAAGCCCTCACCCACATATCCTGGAGGATTACATTGATTTGGGGCAACTAATGGATGTCGTAGCCCAAAACAGCTAGAGGGTTTCAGCTTGGGAGGGGCTGCTTTAGACTACAGTCCTATAATATAATGAAGTGGGGAACATTTTGGAGATCTAGCCCGCATGCTTTATTTTCCTGATTTCTTTAATAGGTGCTGTTTTTGCAAGATGTAGTTCCTGTGCCACTTCTACTTTCAGCCTCGGGCAGAGGACTTCAAACTTGCAGTGGCAAACATATGGATCATCCTGCCCAGATCCTAATTTGAGAGGAAGGGAAATCATTGGTTTTCAAACTGGAGCTGGAAATGTCATCTGTAATTAGCGGTTTTTGAGTGTAGAAAATACATCAGGGGATTCAGGAGCTGGATTAGCACATTTCAGAGGCAATTTAAGCTCTCTGACTCTGCATCTGTATTCATGTAGCTGTTTTTCCTTATAGTTACTGTGACATTTAGAACAGTCTCAAGTGAAAACACCTCAGTTTTTACCTGGAGGTTTTTTTTTAACTAGTTATTTCTCTGAAGCAGGGGTGAGCAAAACATTGCCCATGGACCCTCATGTCCCTTTCTGTAGCCCTCAGTCATTTGAAAGCATCACTGCTGAAATCTAGTAGTAAATTACTGAAAGAAATTAAAAGCAGTGTTTTCTGCTTTGTTCAATGGCCTTTTGCAGCCTGCTGCCAAGATTTGGTAGGACAGGCCATGTACGAGTTGCAGCTCATGGCAGGTCCAGAGGGGCAAAATTGGCCAGTGTGCTAAAGTTGCCCACTCCTGTTCTGAAGCACCAGTCCACACGGAGAGGATGGTTGACAGTCAGGGAGTTCACCCCGAAGGAGAAAGTGGAATCCTTTGCTACTGCAGGAATTCTGTACCAACACTGAATTATGCATTAATGAGTCCTTATATAGTACCGATCTGGTTTGTTTTAGAATTGTGCCCTAATACTGTATTGTACTAATAGAGATTTTCCGCTTGTGAAGGTTTCTGGTATTTTCCTAACATATCAAATGCTTGTCAGCATCAGAGGCCATTATTCACTCATTGATTTGTTCTGTTTTTAGTTCCATCTTTTCTTTGAGGGAACCTCAGGGTAGGGGCACTGGGCTTCTTTCATACACTTTTTCATACCATAGTCTTGTAAAACAGGTTGAGATGGCAGAGGGAGAAGGCAAATATTTGAGTCAGTTCAGTCCCCCTGAAAATGTTAATATTTGTTGAAAAAGTGAGACATGATCTGCAAAAAGTTACCTGAATCTGATGATATTTTGAGCCTTCTTTTTCATGCTTTTAAAACCACACATTCACATATGGAGACCAGAAATGGAAGATCTGGATAGTGGCTGTTCATGCCCAGTGCAGGATTGAAATACATCATCTCTCATTTCTTTCTCATGTAGTTAGACAATGGAGGAAACCTTGTAACAGTGAAACTCCCATCTCAAACTTCAAGTACATACTTGCTTCTTTAAGGATGTATAGCAACATAAGCCACATTGATCTTAATGGTGTGCTGCCATCAGGTGTCCATTTGCTAGAATGCAAATACTATGGCCATAGTAAGGAAGCTATAGATGTTCCTTGCTTTCAGTGTAGATTTTTTTTGCAAAGCTTGTTATAATGTATGCAGTTATGTAAAACAACTTTTTACAATTTTTTTGGAGAAAAAGCATAGTAGTAGGAGTTTTTAATCTGATGGTCTAGCTAGGGGCTTGGCCTGGAGGGAGACACTCTTCAGCGTCCATCCATTTGGGCGTTGCTTTTGCTCTCCATAGGTTTAGCCTAGCCTCTTCTGGTTTAATATTTAGAGCTTAAGAGATTATCAGAAAACTTTCCCTTGATTTTAGCCATCATATCAGAAAACTTTCCCCTTGATTTTAGCCATCATTTAGAGGTTGGTGTCTGTGAAATAGATGCTTTTGGTGCTGTATTACTGTGTTTCCCCGGAAATAAGACAGGGTCTTATATTAATTTTTGCTCCAAAAATGCAGTAGGGCTTATTTTCAGGGGATGTTTTATTTTTTCCATGTACAACAAGCTACATTTATTCAAATACAGTCATGTCATCTTCTTCTGGTGGCTGAACAATGGTGGAGGGCGGGGTTTCACTTAACTGGGGCTTATTTTGGGGGTAGGACTTATATTACGAGCATCCTGAAAAATCGTACTAGGGTTTATTTTGAGGTTAGGTCTTATTTTCAGAGAAACAGGGTACTTTATTTCGTTCATTATTTGCTAGCACCTCTCGATGTACTTCTGGAGGGGAAATGCCAGCAAATAATTGACTTTTTCAATGGGAATAGATTTCAGGCAGCCAGTAATAATTTTGCCTGATTCATCAAGAGTTACATACATTTGTTTGGCATGTGCTGGTTTATACCATACAACACTAGCATATTCTTCTGTGACGTAGCACACGGACAAAGCTGTTGTTCTTCCCATTTGTAAGCCAGTTTCCAAAGTATGTCATTTCTGGTGGTATGTTTTTATTTGGCATTTAGACAATGTTTTTTTGTTTATTTGGTTGGTAGTTCGGAGTTCAATCCAGAATGATACCCAAATACTTTGGGGGTAGGGGAATGTTCCAAAATCTTGCCTTCCTGGCTAACTTGGACTTCCTCTCTCCTTCTCTGTTCTTTAAGTGGAAGACACAGACCTGTGTTTTTAAAGAGTTTGGTTTTAGTCAGTTGTTTTTATAATATACGGATATATCTTCCAATGAAGAGGTTAGCTGGTGTGCAATGGCTTCAAATGTATTCCCCAGGACTGTCTAGGCAAGATCGTTGGCATATGAAACTCACATGGCTCTACTATGAAACTAATGAAGCTTAAGCTTCAGGGCCCCTAATCCTGGAGGGGCCCCAGAAGCAACTTTCATCCACATTGCTTAAAAATTTGGTGGCCACTGTATGAGAAAGTTTTTTTTTAATTGTATTAATTAGATATGTGATTCAATTATTATTATTTCATGGAACAACCCTGTTGAAGGAGGTAGCAGTGGTTACTCAGGCCTCATTGCTGGTTGCAAAGAGACACCCATAATGGTTCAAACTTCAGGGCCCCCAAAATTGATGAAACTCCTGGAATATGTGAGTGTTGGTTGGCCATTTCTGTAAATGTTAAAAAGTAAAGATAAAAGGACACTATTCTGTGGTAGGCCATTCCTTTGTTTTATCCAGGGCTAATCTATATGCTTCGCAGGGGTCCTTTGTTGTCCGTTCTGTTCATATGGTTGATATTTTAATTGAATTGTCTATTTACAGTATATAATGCATGAAGTAATCCCATGGATATAGTTTCTACAGCCTTTCTGATAGCTTAGCCCTTTGATTTCCTCCCTATTATTCTTCCTTCTTTCCTTCTACCCATTCTATGTATTATAATTTTAAAAGACTGTCCTATACAATATTAGCATTGTAATCAAAAATCTGAACCAAAACTTTGAACACAATTGATAAGAAATCTAGCTCTTTGGATACTAAATATGGGCTACAAAACTCCTTAGACTAAATTGTACAGAAAGAAAGAAAAACCTTCTAGGCCAGTTACCTGTGCACAGAGTGGTCACCCAGATGCTGATGGAATGCCGATAAGTCAGGCATGAGGGCAGTACCAGCTCAGAGTCCACAGGAGCTGAATTTGAAGTAATATATAGTCAACCTAATTAGTAACCATTGCAAGTCTTTTATTCCATGAATTTCAAATTTACCCTTTGAAAGCTATCCAACATGGTGGCCATCAGCAAATATTGCAGACAATTGGCTATTTAACTTTATCCTGTATAAGAAAGTACTTCCTTTATTTGGCCTGATTCTACCACCATTCAGCCTCATCCTGAGTTCTAACATTATGAAAGTGGCAGAGTGGGTGGGGAGATGCAAGGAAGAAATCTTCGTGTTCCTTTTTGCCATACCATAAATTCTGTCTATATGGTAAAAGTTAGAAAAGATCAGCTGTCTGTCTATTTTGGACTTTAAGAATTCAATAACTGCATGATCTGATATTGTCCAGTTTTTAAAACCAGACCATGTGTCGTGGTGAAGATGTTTCCCTGGTAGATGGATGTTAGCAAACCTCAACAACTAGTTAGCACACCAGTAGACCCTTTCACTGTCCACCTTTCTTTTATTAAAAAAATGTTTCTTTATATGTTCTTTTGACATGCTTCAGACCTTGCACACTTGTCTGTTGTACAAAATGATATGGAAAGTTACCTGTACTTGGCATATATGATGCATACATAGTTTGGAATGCTGGCCTATCAAAGATTATTGAGCCCCCTCCCTTCTGAAAAAAATAAATTGGTGTCTATTTAACTGATCAATGTGTCCGTATGTTGTTATTTCTTCCAAGGAAAAACTGGACTTCTTCCTGGCTTGTTCTCACTGGTCAGAAAATAGAATTTTACAAAGAACCAAAACAGCCAGCTGTTGCCAATCTGGTAAGCAGTTTTCTTTCTCATCTCGTCTTTTTAGAAATGTTATGGACTAAAAAGTTTGGCACCGTCAGGGGAAAAAAAAGGAAAGAAACCAAAACCAATAGAAAAAGAAAATAAAAAAGAAAAGAAGGAAAGCACAGGGCTGCTAAGCCTTAGACTTTTGAGAGCAGATGCAAGAAAATGACTCAATAAACTTTTAATCAGATGTGAGGGGGGAGGGGAATAGAACTCAGCATATCTTTTATTAAGAGGTGCTTTTTGAGAATAGCCGCAAAGTGAGACGGATGGTGAGTGGCTCTTCAGTAATGTAGAGGTAACACTTTAAATTAAGGTGCCAGTTATAAATGCTTTATTCTTATTTATGAAATGATCTCTAAATGCAACTAGTTCCTCAAATAATGTATTATAAAGTATGTTATAAAATGCATTAGTAATAAGTGCTTAACAGATGATGCGATGAGAATATGTTACAAACGATATTATAAGATGTAAATTGCATTAAACCCTGTGTGTGCATCTTTAATACATGAATTTAAGTTGCTGTTCAGCTTGCTATAAAGTGGCTTGCATATAATAAATAATAATAAAGCAAGTTATAAATGGCACCTTAATATAGGGTCTTACCAAAGAGCAGACCACTGTTAAGTTAACAAAGTGATTTTTATCTTCCTCTAAATGTGACATCTTCTGTATCTGCCTCACATATCCTGAACATTCCTTATGATGCTATCTAATACAGTTAATGCACCTCAAAGCAGAATTCACCCTATTTCTCTCTCTCTCTTTTTCTCTCTCTTTTTAATTGTGCCTCAAGGAGAGGCCACCGACTGTCGACTTCACAGATGTGACAGATATGTTCTACAAATAATCATGGCATGTTTCCCTTCAGTACTAGTTACTGCAGATACTGAGCCTCTACAGCCCTGGACTCTGCGAAACACAAATCTATACATTCCTGACACTACAGACTGAACAGGGACAGCTTTGACAGAGCCGTATTGTGATGGCATCCCAAGGCTTGATCAAACCTGCCAAACCGCATCGGTTTGACGGGTGACCAAAAAGGTGCGCTGTATGACAGGAGTCAGAAACAATAAATAAATTCAGAGATGGTAGGTGATATGGAGCTCCCCCTTGCCACACACACTTTCGTTTCTTCTTTGTTATTAGTTTGTGCCATTGGTCATGCTAGCTCCAGGGCCCCTTGCCCCTCTCCTTTAATGGTTCTTCAGGGAGGAACAATAACAACAACAGCAACAACAAGATGTCATGTTTTTCTTATTGGTAATGTGATAGGTTGGTATGATGCAGTGATAAGATGGCATATTGTTTTAATTCAACATGAGGACGTTAATATAGTAGGTATTAATGGGAAATGTTTTGGAATCTAATGCCCACAGACTTTTTAATATTTGTTTACGTACCGTTTAGGTACTATCTATGTAATAACTGGATAAAACTGGATGCTTTAAATAAATAATATTAACAAAATAGTCAGTAATTGGAAGTAAATCAGAGGTTTAACCCCCAAGGTCCAAAAACTGAACCAGAGTTTAGCTAACAATCCTATTTTCTAGTCAGCAAGAGCACAGTAATGGTATCTTTGAACACAAGTAGAATGCCTTTCCTTTTCTTCCCAGCATGTAGTAGTCTATGACTCCCACAGAGTTAAGGAGCAAGTCTAATGGTCCAGATGGTGTATCTCCCCACAACCCTGAGTATCCTGCGGGTCTTTTTCTGAAAGTACAAAGCCCAGTTTTCTCTGGCAGCCCCACATTTTACCTAGTGCTTTGGGTCCAAAGCCAGCAAGGGAGCAGTCTGGCTAGCACCTGAGGCAAGAGGGCAACCTCCCAGCAGTGTCATGATGTTGTGATGGAACTGTTGGGAGCTGCTTCGTGTTGATATGAGTTTACTGGTTTACTTCTTTTCTTTATCCAATAAATCATCAGAAGGTTTAAAATACAGTAAACACATATTATGACCAAGTCGCTTACAAGCCAACGAGGCTTTGACAACGTAACTAAGCTTTGCCGCACCCCACGGATGGCACAAGACCTTCAGGGTCTCATGAGACTTGTTCAAAGAGCGGGAGAACACCCCTGGCTATATAAGGGGCGTTCTCCTCACTAATCGTCCTCTTCTTTTCTGGCACCCACCCCGCCTGCCCTATACTAGTGTGAGTTTTTCTGGTCACCTTTTATGGGCCGGACAGGAATTTTTGATCTTCATCCTGATTGGCTTTTGGATGGGGCTGTATTTTTGCCTATCCCACACTGGTAAGGGTTATTGGCATTTTATGTGGAAATCTGGTCACACTGGCGGGTAGTGTGGAAAAAACAGGTATTTCTCGGTGAGTCCCACTTTAAGATCAGGTAAGCTAACAGCACATCAGCCCTCCCAGGGCTGCGGATCGTGCGATTACAGCACCTGGGCGGGAAAGATGCGCTGGGCCACTTCCGGACCAACAGTCATCAAGTAAAGATGGTTTGAGGTCTGGGGGTGTTTATTAGCGGCCAGCCAGGTTCCTGCTGTCCTTAAGACCACGAGAGCCTGGGGCTGGGGACTCACCCATATGATTACGGATTTATCTGTTTCCATAGTACAGCAGGCCCCCCCACGCCAATTGATTGGCAAAAATTTTCTGAATGATTATCGATAAAGTGTGGCCTGTGTTTTAATCCATAATATTTGTCTCACGTCCTTATTCCGGGGTTGGGGGGCAAACACCAAAAGCAGCAGTAAATAAGCATGCTGCTTATATACTGCCCCATAACACTTAAATCACTCTCTGGGCAGAGAGCTGAGTTGACCTTGGAAGGATGGAAGGCTTAGTCTACCTCAGACCAGCTATTTGAGATTGAATCTGGGTTGTGAGCAAAGTTTTGGCTGCAGTACCATATCTTAAAACTTGACACAATTGTTTAAAACAAAAATTATAATAATAGCATATTAAAATTGTGTATGCTTTTTAGTTAATCAATCAATCAATCAATCAATCAATTAATTAATTAATATTACAAAATCAGACTTTTGTGACTCCAGTAGGGCCCCATGAGAAATACATACATACATTTTTATCGAATAAGTCAACAGACCGTTTCAATATTCCATGAAAAATAAGATCTATCACATGATTCTTTTAATTTAGTTTAGTTTAGTTTTAGTTTGCCTTTTTTGTTCCCTAAGAAAAACTGCTTTAACTGTAAAGAAACTGTAAAAAAAAACTTTGTCAGGCTGCCAGTACGTCAGTCTACCCTTCCCTCCCTCTTGAATTCTGTAATGTTATGTTCGATTTGTTTTTGTCATGTTTGGGTTGGAATCCTTTTGATGGATGGTTAAACCTGGTTTAGGGGTTGGAGGGACAGGGTCTGTGCAGTGTCCATGTGCCCTTGTGGTCTCCATCAGACTGTTATTCCTGAATTATATCCAGCTGGGAGTGGTAATTGTGACCTTATCTTTCCCACCTGTTCCCCCATTGTAAACACACACACACACACACACACACACACTTCCCTTATAAGCTGCAGTCTAGCAAGTCTGAAGCTGATTACTTGTTTTACTTCGTTTCCTCCAATAATTCCTTTAGAACTCATGTCCCTCATTCAGTTTCCAGACGTAAAAAAGACAATGGAAGTTCTTCTCCCAGTTTCCTTTTTCTTATTTAGAAAGGGCAAGTGCAAGAGATAACCTATTTTTTAGTGGGGCAGGTAGAGATACTGAGAGAGGTTAACACATGAGGAAGTAAAGAAAAAATTTGAAATTGACTTCTATTTTACCCCATCCAGTCGGTCAAATCAATTTACACAGCAAACTATATTGCTCATCCTCCTCTTCCTAAACCTACCTGCAACTGGAATGACACAGCACATAATCCTGTTGCCCAACGGATAGATGCACTCCTTTAACTATTATCTGCATGGTGTTTCTGCTCTTATTATCAGATTTATTTGATGAATAATATAATATAATATTTGATTTATTATAATGAAATGAAAGTGAAAGTGAAGATAACTCTTAATGTTGTCTTCAATCTCTCTTTCTTTCTCTCTTTCTTTCGTGAAGAGTGACAATGGGAACTTCTCCTTCCAATATGATCCTGTTACGGCTTAACGTCAGTCAATCATGGAATTTTGACTGCATGGCTTTTTCTTTAGCCCCAGAGCTGAAGTTGAAACAGAAAATTGAGAAGGCGCCGGCGAATATAGAACAGTAGTTGGATATGCACATGGCTCCCCTCTTGCTTCTTAAAATGAATAAAAGCAAACCTACATTGACTGAAGCGTATTGCTTAGCACAGTGGTTCTTAACCTTTGTTACTCGGATGTTTTTTAACTGCAACTCCCGGAAACCCCAGTCAGGACAGCTGGTGGTGAAGGCTTCTGGGAGTTGCAGTCCAACACTCCTGAGTAATCCAAGGTTAAGAACCAGTGGCTTAGCATACGACATTGCAGTAGAGTAGCTCCACTGAATCAGTGGGGAGTTTTGTCTGTCAAGTTCTTCATATGTTTCATTGATTCAAATGGGCCTACTCTAGTCTAAATTGCTTCATTAACCAATGGGATTTCAGCTTTTGTAGTCAACATTTTTAAAAAGATAGCTCTCTTAATCTGTTTCTGTAACAGAAACAAAAGGAGAAAAAGAAAAAGAAAGTATTCTCACTCCTTTAAAATGAACAGATTTATTTCTCTGACAGCTTTCATGGATTATAATCCACTTTCTTAGTCACAAATGGATTGTAATCTACAAAAGATATTACTAAAATAAATCTGTTTGTCTCAAAGGTGCGAGAATACTTTTGTTTGTTATTATACATCAGACTAGAAAACTCTGCTACATAGGAACTAGTTTTGTTACAAAACATTGGGCTCATTACCTTGTTTTGTTAATGGCTGAGTTCTCCCACTGCCAAAGTATACTTGCTAATAATGGAAAAGGCAGAACTTTTACCCCTACAAGCCTAACAATCAGTAAAAAAAAGTTCTTTAACAAAGGAACTCTATGGA